CACTCTTGTGACCCGCTATTTTTGGGGTGCCTTGATAGTCGAAGCAGACTTTGTGCCGTTAAGGCTAGAGAGGTGAGCAGAGGAAGCCTGGTTCCCCGTAAGGACTTTTCTGTTCATATCCATCCATTAGCGCTCATATGACCTTACGCAGTTGCGAGCTCCGTAAAACCTCTAATAAAATTAAAATCCTTTCCTGTGCTGAAAACAGCTTACTTTTCTTTCCCTTCCTATTCCAGGTGAATTAGGAATATGGCTTAAGACTGACTACTCCCCTCTCATATCTCGTCACATTATTGACTCTTCTTTACTCTCCCATTCCGGGTGGAATTTGGCGTAAATCTGACTACTCTCCTTTCATATCTCGTCATTTTACTGACTTGTCTTTACCCTCCCGTTACGGGTGGAATTTGGCGTAAATCTCCTCTCTTATGTTGCTCTTTTCCAGGTGCCATAATTGGAGGTCTGGAGATCTTTATGACCTTCCACAGAGAAACCTTTTCGGTTCTGAAAACGGCTTACTTTTCATTACTGTCCCAATTCGAGGTGGAATTTGGCGTAACATTGACCACCCTCCTCTCAAAATGTTTTCTCTTAACCGACCTCTCCTCTCATGCTTTTTTCAAACAGGCCCCGTAACTGGAGATTTGGAGATCATTCTGACCTTCTGAAGGAAATCTTGCCTTTTCAGTGCTGAAAACGGCTTACTTTTCTCTACTCTCCCGTTCCCTGTGGAAATTGGCTTAAAACTGAATATACACTCCTCTCATATGTTTTCTCTTTATGGCCTCTTCTCTCTAAATATACCGTCATTTTCCAGGTGCCGTAACAGGAGGTCTTGGGGTCGTCATGACCTTCCTGGTGGAATCTTTTTCCTATGCTGAAAACGGCTTACTTTTCTTTACTGTCCCATTCTGGCGTAAAACTGACATCTCCTCTTATAAGTTTCTTTCTTAATTGACCTTTCCTCTCCTATGTCGTCAGTTTCCAGGTGTGCCATAACCGGAGGCCCGGAGATCAGTACGACCTTCTTAACTCTCCTTTCCGCTTAAGTTTCTTTACTCTCCTTTTTTGCGAGCGCCGTAAAACTTTTTCTACTAAAACTTTTTAAAAGGAGATGGAATTTGGCGTAAAACTGACGTCTCCTCTCATTTATCACGTTCCAGGTGCCATAACAGGAGGTCTGGATACCTTTATGACTTCCTTGACAGCTTACTTTTCTCCACCTTCCCATTCCCCGTGGAAATTTGCGTAAAACTGACCACCCTTCTCTCATTCGTGTTTTTCTTAATTGAGCTCTCCTCTCATATGTGAGGTGTGCTGACAAAATGAGTTATTTCTCGATGTCCAAGAATGGACATATCGGCCGAAAATCGACACTGCGGTCAGATTTATAGATTTCTAATTGATACCATTTTGTTCAAGTCTACCATGCCTTTTATTCTTCCATACTTACAAATTGTACAAACTTCACCTGTAAAGTTGATGTATCAATTTCCATAAGGCTAAAATCGGAGAAGTAACTCATTTTGTCAGCGCACCTCACATATGTTGCTACTTTCCAGGTGCCATAACAGAAGGTATGGAGATCTGTACGACCTTGATCTTCTGTACTCTCCCATTCTGCTTACTTCTCTTTACTGTCCATTGTCGGGTGGAAATTGGCGTAAAACTGACCTTTCCTCTCATTTATCACGTTCCAGGTGCCATAACAGGAGGTCTGGAGATCTGCATCACTTTCCCCACCGAGTACGTGAAGACACAGCTGCAGCTGGACGAGAAGTCCGGAGCTCAGAAACGCTACAAGGGTCCCGTGGACTGTGTCAAGGTCACTGTCAGGGAACATGGCGTCCGTGGGTTGTACAGGGGACTCAGTGTTCTGCTCTACGGCTCCATACCCAAGTCCGCCGTCAGGTGAGAGAGAGAGACAGAGACAGAGACAGAGACAGAGACAGAGAGCGAGAGAGAGAAAACGAGAGAGAGAGAGACAGAGAGCGCGAGAGACAGAGAGCGCGAGAGAGAGACAGAGAGCGAGAGAGAGAGAACGAGAGAGAGACAGAGAGAGACAGAGACAGAGAGAACGAGAGAGAGAGAGAGAGAGAGAGATGACACAGTGGAATCAGATGCTCGAAACGTTTTAGACATTTTGAGTTATTTATATTGTCCTTTAGCTTGTTTGTTTGTCTTGCTTTTGATGGGAAGAAATACACATATTTCTCTTGAAATGAAGTCAAGATATTTGCATTTGAAGCAGGTAGGGCGACCGTCTCAGTGTGGTGGCTTCAAAATCTTAAACATCCTCTGGATTTGCAACTTCACATTATTTATTTCACCACGCCACCACACAAAGGTTTAATGTCGCCATCAACACAGTTTAGATCGTATGTGAGGCAGCGTGGTGGAATCAGGCTCTCGTCAATTTCGGGCTTGTAGAGTTATTGGTATCATCTTAAAACTTGTTCACTTGTCTTTATTTGGATGAAAAAATATCCTTTTATCTTGAATACAAGTCAAGATATTTGCGAATGAAGGAGGTGGGGGTCACCTGTTTTCAGAGGTAAAATTAGTGAGAAAATGGCAGCCAAAGATTAGTTATTTCCTTAGTTTAAGAGTCCGTGGTAACTGAACATTTACATTTCTTGTTCTTTTAATCAACGTTGTTCAGAAAAATCCACACAGAAATGTGTTCTTTAATAGGCAAGAAAGGTGTTGAGCCAAAAACAAAAATTCGATAAAAATTCACAAAGCTGCGGAAAAATGCAAGTTTCTTCACTTTGATTATTTTGACGAGAGCCTGATTCCACCACGCTGCCTCACATATTTTCAACAAGTGCCATCTTGATCTTTACTCTTTCTTATTCATGTTGTTGTCGTTGTTTTCACACCCCTGTAGCTGCGAGCATTTCGCTCTTGGCAGCGCAGTCTCCCTCAAGTAACCACACGTCCTTGTCATCTGGTCAACGCCATAGTAGAGCAGGCTTTGTAAGTCTGTAGGTGTGTGTAGGAGCCTGCATTGAAGAACTGCCAGGTTTGGGCAGTGAAGGAGAAGATGTTCAACGGTCTCCTCGTGGTAGTCTCAGTGTCTGCAATGGGGCCTTCTTATTCCTAGTACAATGTACTCTTATCTCTTATGTTCATAATGTCGTGATGACTCTCCCCTCTTTCCTCTCTCTTTCCTCTCACTCACTCTCTCTCTCTCTCTCTCTCTCTTTCCTCTCACTCACTCTCTCTCTCTCTCTCTCTCTCTCTCTCTCTCTCTCTCTCTCTCTCTCTCTCTCTCTCTCTCTCTCTCTTCACTCTTTCTTTCTTTCTCTCCCATTTTCTCTTTTGCTCACACACACCCGCCCGCACACTCGTGAGATTTCGAGTTCGGGGGGTTCGAGCCTCAGCTCGGTCCGACGTTGTGTCCTTGGGAAAGGCACTTTACACGAACTTCCTGCTTGGATCGGTCCTATCGGAGACGGACGTTAAACTAGGAGGTCCCGCCCCTTAAATAACCTAATAGTGTTGATAGGGGCGTTAAACCCATACCATACACCCCCCCACACACACACACACACACACATGCACACACACACACACACACACAAACACCGAAATGACGATCCCCTGTTTGGCTTTTTTCACAGATTCGGCTCTTTCGAAGAATTCAAGAAACAACTGGTCGGTGCTAACGGAACCCTGAATGGTCAACAGCGGTTGTTATGTGGCTTAGGTAAGTTAATGATCAGCTTTTAGTTTTAGTAGAGGTTTTACGTCGTTCACAACTGCATAAGGTCATATGAGCGCCAAGAGGAGGATGTCAACAGATAAGTCCTTACAGGGAACAGACTTACTCTGCTCACCTCTCTCGCTTCAACAGCACCAAGTCTGTTTCGACTTTCAAGGCTCCCCGGAAATAGCGGGGTCACAAGAGTGTGACAAACATACAAAAGAAATAGAGGGAAAATGACGATAGTAAGGATTAGGAAAGAAAAAGCAGCAGTTCCCTGTTGTAGATCAGGCACAGTTATGAGCATGACATTGTTGGATCAGCCCATTTACAATTCTACTGTGCATTCGAACGAGAAATATCCCCCCTTTCGGAATGGCTTAAAGACACTTCTGTCCGTGGCACCGCCCCGGGTGGTGTCAGCTTTTGTCAGGGTTTGTTCTGTTCTTGGGAAACTCTATAGGAATTTGGGGGAATTGACAAAATTTTTGGAAAAGACTTGGGAAAAGAATGTTTTAACTAGATCTGTTGTAAAACTATTTCCTCGAAGTTTAGAAGGCTTCGAAGTTTAGAAGGCTTCGACTTTTTACGCATTCTGAAGTTTACCATAGCGTATTTTTGCACACTGAACGAAACATTTTCTTCCGAAATGACACGTTATTTGTCTTGGAAAAAAGAAATCTGGTCTTGGAAAAGTCTTGGGAAAAAAATCTCCTGCCCAGTATGAACCCCGTTTTATGTAATTTATCAGTCTATTTCAAATATCTAAATGTGGCATCTGTAGTCTAGTGGTCGGGCTACCCTGACTCTCTGTGGAGTACAGCATTGTGGAACTTAACCTCAAAGAAAAGGAAAAAACTGGTCACTTTTAACGACAAGCGGGCTAACCCAGATTTCAGGGGTTTCCAGAAATCTTGACCTAAACCAAAAGTGGGCTTTGCCCTACCTATAGGAGAAGTTTGATTTCATTGATGTGTATGTTTGTTTGGTTATAGAGAAAACTATCCTTGTCTTTTACAGAAATTGAACGAGGGGCAAAAACTTTACCTTTGATTTTCTCGAAACAGCATTTTTTGGGATAGCCCCCTTGTGCTTAAAAGCTACCAACTTTTTAAGGAAATGGTGATGATGATGATGAAACGTTGAACTTATATTAAATATGTAAAATCTACTAAGTCTCAAACCCTTTTTTATTCCCTGCTACCTACAATGATGATGATAATGATAAATGTTTTTCTCTGTGCAGGGGCGGGTGTGTCAGAAGCCATTTTCGCAGTGACCCCCATGGAGACGGTCAAAGTGAAGTTCATCAACGACCAGACGTCGGCCAAGCCACGCTTCAAAGGTTTCTTCCACGGTGTGCGGGTCATCGTAGCGGAACAAGGTACGGATGTCTTCTTCCTTCTCCTTTTTTTTGTCCTTCTCTTTCTCTTCCTTTTCCTCCTTCTCTACCTCCTCCTTCCTTTTTCTGTCTTTCTTCATCTTCTCTTTATTGTCCTCTTCCTTCTTTTCTAGTCCTTCTCCTCCTCTTCCTCATCATCCTCCTCCTCCTC